AGTGATGATCATTTGCATTATCACTGTAAGATTTTTATTCGTATGTGCATGTAACTTTGCATTACACACCTTTCTCTATATGTAACTTTGAGGAGTTACTCTTATAAGCTGTTGTTATGACCTGTACCTGCAGACAGGTAAAAAACTCTGTGTTTGTTTTCTCATACATGTGCTAAATTATGACTACTCAGGATGAAACTGGTCATTCCATGCCTTTCAGGTTTTGTTTTCCACTAGAAAGTCTGAGCTCCAAGTGGATCGGTTTTTTTGGATCTTTCTTGTTGTTTGTTTTTATTTTTAATTTTGGCTATAAAACTGGAGCTGCTTATTGGAACAGGTTTTATGACTCTGGAGAGGCACATTACACTTGGTTTTGAGGAACGAATCATGCGTCTTTGGGGAATGTGTAGTCTTTGTTCTTCGTGGGTGTTCTGCTCGCATCTGACCAAGTTATGAGGTGTTAAAAAGTTGTAATTTGCCCATACTCACAATATTTTAAGAGCTTGACGTAAGTTTTCCAAGGGTATGCAAGTATACCACTCCCAGATGTTAAGGTTGCTGTATATAATGTTTGCCAACAAAATAACCACTTGCTTAAGCGCTTGGTTTTTGTGGAAGCTTTCAAGATGGCCATGTCTAGTTCTGGCCTTGCCCACTTGTTCTTTGAATGGCTCTTTGCTTTCTAGGAAGCTGGGTAATTTTTGTGCTCTATTTCAAGGCAAAGTGTGTATCTTCAGTTCTTCATGCGTCTCAGTGTGGAGCTGTGTCAGCTCTGTACTGATCTGTGTGGATAAAGATGGGAGATGTGATTAGGAAAAGGCTGAATCTTAAGTTCTGGCTTTGTTTACTTCAGCAAGTACTGCAGTACAGGACGAGTGTTTCTGTGGAATTAAGTGGTGGGCACTGAGGATCCAGTGTTGATGCTATAATAATTTGGGGAAATACTGCTTTTGCCTAGGTCAGTCCATAGGCTAAATGTCCTCTTACCTTTGGAGTGGATCTTCTAGTTCAGTTTAGCCTGAAACAAATCAGGTTTTTAAGAAGCCCTCTCCTAATCTGAACTAAACCACCATGTAGATGTATGCATTGTCTGGCTGCTGGAGTTGGAAGTGCCTGGGACAGAATTTGAGAGCCCACAGAGCCTGTTCCTCTTTCTACCGCTATAGTATTGGCATGGGATTAAACTTATTTCTGTGTGGAAGCGAGTATATTTTTCAAATAGCTGATTTGGTAGAAATCTGCGCTTTGGACTGCAAGTCACAGGTAACTGCAAACCGGTAAGTTTTGACTTCATGGTGGAAATGCTGTAGTTTTCATTTCTTTCTAAAATGTAAAAAATCAGGTATTCAAAATGTTTACCGAGTGAATATAGAGCCTGGGATAGCAGATGCTCAAAAGTCAAAGTGTCAGATAGAGATTACCTCTGTGGCTGTAACATGGCCCAGTAATAGTCACAAACTCTTCCACATGAGCTCCTTCCCTTATTCAGAATATAAATCACTAGTGAATCAGATCTGGAGTGACCTGGAGAAACCATATAATGAAAATACGCCCTAGTGATGATAAATTTGCTTTTATTTTGAGATACCTTGGGCCTGATTTATAGCTATGCTGGATATTTAGAATAGCAGCTGAAGTTGCATTTTCAAAGCACAGCCCAAGTTAAAGTTCTATTGAAAGTACTGACTGAAAAACTAGGCACTGAAGTGTCTGAGATTTGGCATCCAAAGTTAGTGGGCATTTATTTTACCCTTTGGACTTTCATCATTGCGTGCCGGCCACCCACCTTTAGAACAGGAATGGGAATACCCATCTTGCGAAGTTTACGCTTATTGTATGTAGTCTTCCCACGCTATGGGCAGATCTGCATAAACATGTCTATGGGGAAATGTAGGGGTTTTGTATTCAGTGTAGGATGCAGATGGTAAGTATTTAATGGGTCATAGGGTGAGAGTAAAAACTGGGCAATTGTCCATTTGCTGAATAAATCAGAAATCCTGCTGGGGAAAACGGAATAACGCGGCAGAAAGAATATTATCAGAAGTAGGTATGTATAAAGGCTAAAATAAAGTTGCATGTCTTTCAAATCTGAAGTGCTGCATAGCTTGTTTTTACATAGCTGTATTTAAAGCTTGGTGAGGATTTGATGTGATACAAGTCTGCAAAACCATTGGTGCTTTGCAAGCCACATTTCAGTGCACTGTGAGGCAAGTATAAGGATTGCATTGGTAAGAGTAGAGAAGGAATGCAGGGTGGTGTGTGAACATTGTGGTGATGTCTTTTATGTTTCCAATTACACATATGTTTGTGCAGTTTTTGGGAGGAGCAGTTTAAAAATACCCACTGGTGGTTTTGGAGTCACTTACAAGGAAGGCTTTCAGGACAAGATTGCGCTGCTTCAGTCATTTAGTTGTGTGTTCAAAACAGTGACATCATGAATTGATGCCTCTGGAACTTTTCCTTGTGGGGCTGGTCTAAAGCTGTTCTCTTTGTATGTTTTATATGAGCATTGGGAAACTTTTCTCTTGCCATGACTTTTACGGCAGTAGTGCCCCTGCAGCCCTAGTCATTTTAGATCTCTGAATGCTAACCCTAAGCCTAACCCTAATTTTAACCAGCTCCCTAGAGATGAAGAACACGTTCCTGTGTAACCTTATCTAGGTGTTCCTGGTCCGGCAGGGGGATTGGACTAGATGATCTTTTGAGGTCCCTTCCAATCTCTAACATACTGTGATACTGTGATACTGTGATTTTCCACGTTCCTAAGCCTGCAGGCTCATCCTGAATTTTGGAATTCAAGGTTTGTTGTTCTGCTTGTGTCTGTTGCTGTAGACATGATGATACAGATCAGAGATGCCAAGCGCTTCTACCCTTTGCCTTGGTAGGACGGAGGTGATGAGTTTTCTTCTTCCCTGGGTCTTGCTAGTTTTCTTTGAGGGCTCATGGAAAAGGGCATCATGAGACATCAATTGGTAAATAGTCTGTAATGCAGCCAAAGAAGTGATGTCTGGACATTGTTGGTTTTACTGAACGCTAACACGTCTGCTTATGAACAGGTCTTCATGTCCATTTCTGCCCTCTGTCTCTTAACCTCAGCTTTACTGCATAGCTGTCCCAGTTTTTAACCTTGGTTTCCCTCCCCCTTCTAGTCTGTCTAGGGTGTGAGTTCCTTGGGTCAGAAACATGCTCTGTGGTATACATAGCATAATTTCTGTAATAACTATCCAAAACAAATGTCGATATAAAATGCACAGTTAATTATTTTGGCTTTCACTTTTTCTTTTTTGACCTCTTTTTTTAAAAACATTATTAGTTATTTTCCGTTTCAGTGGTTCATTAAACTTGACTGTTTCATATGAGACTTTCCCACTAAATCTACTCAAGTTACAAACCTTGCTCTGTTTCATTTGCATCATTGCTCATAAAGGAGAGAAAACAGGTCAAGTTATGCCCTGAAAGAATATCGCATTTGTTTAGGATTCTTCAAACACAGTTAAAAGCATAATGGAAATGTGGGAGTAAGAGAATGGATAGCAAAGTGTATGGTTTAGTTTAGGGAACTGATCCTGTTAAAAAGCACAGCCCTGCCTTCTGAGCCTCCTCTTTCTTTGGCAGTGCTTAATGCTTTCGCGACTTGGCCTTATGGAAGGTTTTAGGGTGGTTCAGAACAAGGGAAACTATCCTTTGATTTGCAAATGGGGAACCTATGCTATGATTACAAATATGAGACTTCTGTAGGTGGTTGGTATTATTTAGCTTCTACTTTAAATATAAACATGTTTGTATACTCTCACCCTTAACTCTTGCCTGTTGTTGCCTGAAGCTTGGCTGAAAAGTGATGGAGGAATGGACTAACTGAATTATAGTACTGGAGGTGTGCACCATGTTGCCGCAACCATTCATATTGTCTGCTGTCATGAGCACGTCAGTATTGCCTTTGTACCCTGTGGTACTAAGATTAAGTATACGTTTCAGCAAAGTGACATCAAGCAGGCATAAACGCTGTTGTGCTAAGAGCTAGTCAAGCATGCACAAGCTTCTTATGCTGAAGTGCTTATGACCTGAAACAGTGGTCCCCAAGCTGTTACTTGTGATGACATGCAATGCCGCTATTAGACACAGAAATTTGTTAGACAGTTTTCTATGGAAGATAAAAATCCATGGAGGGGGGAGATTTTCTTTTCTAAATAAAGAAATTCATCTGGCTTTTTTGTAGCTTAAACCAGTTTAGATAGCGGTTGCTGTATTTGAGAAAATTATTTCTTTATCATGCCCTTCCTGTTAAATTTATTTTAGGCCACAGAGTGATTCTTTTTACTCACTGGTTGGGTTGGTTTTTAGTTTTAATTATACTTTTGCTTCCAGTGCCCTAATGTCTTTAAATATTTAGTATACAAGAGATTTTCTACCTTCTAGAATAAATGGCCTGAAGGGAGGAGGAATTTTTGAAACTGTCCGACTTGAATGTGCAAGCAAGCCGTTTATCTGATTATGTACTGCTGAAGTGCACCTCGTTGAGCCCTACTTCTGCACAGGCCACTGAAGTGGTGTACCAGTGATTTGTGTAGCTGATATGTATTTTAAAGTCATGCTCACTTTAAAAAACAACCAAACAAAGAATGGAAAACTACTAAAAAAAAACCCAACTCGGATCTTTACATTACTGGGAGAGTAGAAATGATTCCATAGATGGTACAGTGGTTTGGTATATAGAAAATTTATAGGAAAATACTTCTTTTGTTTGCTTCTGTTGATTCATGCACAGATTGCCTCTACAGGTTTGATTTATCATTTCTACTTAGCTGCTCAGGGGAGCACACGTCTGTGCTTTAAGGGGGAAGGGATCCCAGGAGAAGCTCTTTGAGGCTGACATGCTGTGCTGTGTGGTAAGAGCCATTGCATAGGCAAAGGTTCTGCAAATTGTTCATAGCGTGCAAATATGTTTATTCAATTTTATACACAAATGTGTGAGAAACATTTTTCTTTTCTCTCTTATACAGGTCAACTTTGTAGTGTGCCAACTGTTTGCCTTGCTTGCAGCTGTTTGGTTCCGAACATACCTTCATTCAAGCAAAACTAGCCCATTTATAAGGCATGTTGTTGCAACCCTCTTGGGCCTTTATCTTGCACTTTTTTGTTTTGGATGGTAAGTTGCAATTCAATTCAATTTTGAGAGACTTGTAAATTTTCATTTCGCATTTGCAGGGAATCAAAGTTTTGTTATGAAGAACATTATTTCCGAATTCTGTGGGGTTTAGCTGCTGCAAATGTACAGAAATTGGCTACAATTTTCTGATGTGGTGCACAAATATTGAAAGGTGTTCGATTTGCAAACCGGTAACTAACATACTGTCTGCCTGTGGTTTTGGGAGGATGGAGTGAGTGGAGTTTGTTTAATTTGTCCCCTTTTTTCTGTAAACTTGCTTGAGAAGTATTCTCTTGAGGCACAGGTGTGATGACTAAGATAATGTCTCTTAAATATTCACTGCCTGAGACACGCTCACTGTGTCTTTTTCTGAATACTGAATATAATCTGACTTGTGTAGGACAGGTTGCCAGAACTGCAGTACCTATGATGCTCCTAGGAGTATAAAACACCTGGAAAGGAGCTGGCTTAGATCTGAGAGTTGTTTCTGTGTGGGTTTTTTCTTCTATGTTTTAGAGGGAGGGTGTGGTGGTTTTGTTGTTTTGGGGTTTCTTTTAAACACAAGTTTTCTGTTTTCACATCTTGATCTTTTCATGGCGTAGCAAGCCAGAATATTGGTAGGGCTAGTAAAAGGTCTGCGAGGAAGAGGATGCATTTAGTTTGGTGAATTTATTTTTTCCTTAAAAATTACCTTACTAAATAGCTCTGATCTCCCCAAGATGGTTTAAGATTGCCAGTTTTGTAAACAAAGTGCTTGCTCAGCTTCAAGTGTACTGAAGACTTATTTATATTATTGCAGAGTATTACTGAGCTAGGGGGAATTAAGCTGTTGTGCAGGTGGATTTACATGTGCAATTTACTTGTTCATATAATTCTATTAACTCCCATGCGTTTCTTAAACTTTGGCTGTGGTACTCTGCTTTGAGAGAACAATTTGATGTCAAAGGCTGCCAGTTTTAGCACCAAATGAGGAGGATGATATGGGAGATAGGTGCTACTGTGTGTGGTTTTTGTGACAGCTGTGTAAACTGTAGAAGCACATTTTTTATCCATTGCTTTGGAAACAGAAATCATTAATTGTAACTTGTGATGAGAAAATGTTAACAATATATTCGTATCTGAAATTTGGGGATGGGAGACTTTGGAAAGAAAAAACCTCCACCCCCAACAGGTATAAATAAAGATTTGTAGAAGCCTCTCATTGGCAGAATGCCCTGGAAAAGAAATCAGAGAGATATCTTATGTCATAGTAGAAATCCAGATTATTCTGGTTTGATTTGGATCATACTTAAAGCAACTATTTTTGCAACAAATTTCTATTTTACTAAAAGTTTGTGTATTTTTCTTAGAATGATGCTTTTTAAAAATGTAGAGCAACATAATTTGAGATGTTAAAAGTACACATTCTTTAAAAAACCTGATACAAGTGATACTTGCACTTGTGCCAACTTTTTTTGTATTGCTTAAATATGTATTCTACAAGCATGTTTTTGAGGGTTTTCTTTTGTTTGGCTCCCCTTACCCCTCCCCAAGTAGTCAAGTACACATACAGGTTACAGTCCTGTGGTGCACATTCAGTGACCCTTCAGCTGCGTTATAATGTGTGACTACAAGAGGAAAACTATTACTGGTTTGTTTTATGTAGGAAGAGTTTGTAGTAAAAGTAGATTTGTAGATCATGTCATCCAAATGTAGGTAATAGTTTGGAATCTGCACCCTTTTATTTGTCATTATGTTGTCTTCAGTTTCAGTTGTGTTACTTTTCAGTCACCTTTGTAGTGCTTGTGATGGTGGAACCAAAAAAGAAGGGATAGTTCATTGGGATAATAGCAAGTAGTATAAAAGGCCTAGAATACCCTTTGTGTATAGCTAAAATTCACTATTTCATGTTGTTCCTATGCATCCCTTTTTTTGAATTGGAGATCAATCATATTGCTACCATTAACAGCTCTGAAAGACAAATATATTCAGAGACTGTAAACTTGATATGGTATTCCACATCAGCCCACACTTTTTCAGGCTTTGAAATATTGTGTTCCTCCCTGCATTTAAGAAGCAAACCTCTTAATTTTTTGCCATTTCACTAATGCCTGCCTTTGCCACATAATGTTGCTAATACATGGCTGATATGAAAAGATAAATATTTTTTTAATTGGCAGTTGCATATATTAAATGTGCATTTGAATTTTAGGTAGTCATATCTTAGATGACACTAGCTAGTAGTGAAGCATGGGAGCATGTGCAGATTGGATCTTCCATTAAAAAGTCAAGATTCTCCAGGTCAGTTAATGTCCAAGTGAACTGTTCTCCCTTAGTTCATTGTACAGAGGCTTTGTAGGAGTGTAGCTGGACAGAGCTGGGTTTCTTGTTGAAAGTCTTTGAAGACGTTTTCTTGTGAATAGGTGAGGATTAAAATCAGAAAATTGTTATAAGCTGAAAGAAAACATTATTAGTATAGCAAAATAGTAGTTGCTTTTTAGGCTGGTTATTATGGAAAAAGTACCAAAACTAGATCAGTGTGTTACTTGAGCGTATCTAAGTATGCTACTGAGACAGTTAAAGTACTAAAGTGAAAGAGAGTCATACTCAAGATCAGACGCTTCCTCTGTCGCTGGTAGTGGTTTGCCACCAGTGCTCTACTAGCTTACTGAATCATAGAATCATAGAATGTTTAAGGTTGGAAAGGACCTTAAGATCAAGTTCCACCTCCGTGCCAGTCAGGGATGCCACACTGTAGACCATGGTGCCCAAGGCTCTGTCCAACCTGGCCTTGAACACTGTCAAGGATGGAGCATTTACCATTTATTTGGGCAATCTGTTCCAATGCCTCACCACCCTCACAGTAAAGAACTTCTTCCTTATATCTAATCTAAACTTCCCCTATTTAAGCTTGAACCCATTACCTCTTGTCCTGTCACTATAGGCCCTAATGAAGAGTCCTTCTCTGGTACCCTTGTCAGCCCCCTTCAGATACTGGAAGGCTGCTATGAGGTCTCCACGCAGCCTTCTCTTCTCCAGACTAAGCAGCCCCAACTTTCTTAGCCTGTTGGTAGCTATGGTGTTAAGCTATGGAAAGCAAATAAGGAGATGAGGTTAGAGTACCTTTGTGCAATACATCTGTGGGTTGTTCTTGTTGTAGGGTTTTTTGTTTCATAGAATCATAGAATAGTTAGGGTTGGAAAGGACCTTAAGATCATCAAGTTCCAACCCCCCTGCCATGGGCAAGGACATCTCGCTCTAAACCGTCTCACCCAAGGCCTCATCCAGTCTGGCCTTGAACACTGCCAGGGATGGAGCATTCACAACGTCCCTGGGCAACCCATTCCAGTGCCTCACTACCCTAACAGAAAAGAATTTCCTCCTTATATCCAATCTAAACTTCCCCTGTTTGAGTTTGAACCTATTACCCCTTGTCCTATCACTACAGTCCCTAATGAAGAGTCCCTCCCCAGCATCCCTGTATGCCCCCTTCAGATACTGGAAGGCTGCTATGAGGTCTCCACGCAGCCTTCTCTTCTCCAGGCTGAACAGCCCCAACTTTCTCAGCCTGTCTTCATATGGGAGGTGCTCCAGTCCCCTGATCATCCTCGTGGCCCTCCTCTGGACTTGTTCCAACAGTTCCATGTCCTTTTTATGTTGAGGACACCAGAACTGCACACAATACTCCAAGTGAGGTCTCACAAGAGCAGAATAAAGGGGCAGGATCACCTCCTTTGACCTGCTGAGGGGGCCTACGTTCTCCCTAATCTGTTTTTTATTTGCTATGTACCTGTAGAATCCCTTCCTGTTATCCTTAATATCCCTAGCCAAGTTTAATTCTAACTGGGCCTTAGCTTTCCTAACCTGGTCCCTAGCTTCCCGGACAACATCCCTGTACTCTTCCCCAGGCTGCCTGTCCTTGCTTCCACTTTCTATAAAACTCTTTTTTCATTTGAATTTTCCTCAGGAGCTCCTTATCCATCCAAGGAGGTCTCCTGGCCATCCTGCTGCACTTCCTTCTAGTTGGGATGTGACACTCCTGAGCTTGTAGCAGGTGATCCTTGGAGACCAACCAAGAGTCTTGAGCCCCCCTGCCCTCTAGGGCTATATCCCATGGAACCTTACTAAGCAGGCTCCTGAAGACGCCAAAGTCTGTGTTTTTGAGAACATCATCACCACCATCCTTTTACTGATTATTGAGAACTTGGGGCAAAGAAGCTGGGTGGGCAGAGTTACCATTTCTGTTGGCTAGGAAATCTTCCCATATGCTTATATTGTGGATATGAAGATACTGTTTGCTTTATCCAAGATACCTGTTGTTGCGAACTGGAAAAAAGATGAGTATGGTAATTGAACCACAAAATGCATGAAATAATACCAAGTGGAAGTTTTATCAGACATGTACTTTGCAATTTAAGAATTAACTGCATTTACTATGTTCTTGTTTATGAGCTGGATAAATCTAGTTAAATCTGTAGTTTTTGTTCATTACTGCTGTTTGTGCTCTACTGAAGACGGAAGCCCTCAACAGAGGGAGGGCTGCAGGAAACTTAAGTAGATCAGAAGGGGTTTTTGGAAACAGTGATGGAGTTAAAATTTGAGCCTCTTTAATTTCACATTAAATAAATAAATGCATGCAGTTTATTTCATTAATGAAAGTGCTGTGAGGGTTTACTGTTTGGTTTGTTGGTGTGTTTTTTTTCTTCTAGGTATGCCTTACATTTTGTTATACAAAGTGGAATTTCCTACTATATCATGATCATAATAGGAGTGGAGAATATGCACAAGTAAGTTTCTATTCTTAAAGTTTTTAATATGATTTTACATGAATGCTACTGTTAAGGTTCTTTTTGTCACTGTGCACATATGCTGTATTTCTGGTTGTATCATAGTATTCTAGTATTTTAATTCTGCTAACCATGGTTTTATTTCCAGGACAGAAAATGACTTACTTGGGTATTTTTGTCAGCTTTTTGGAATATCCAAAGCTTGTTACAGTTGGTAATATCCCACGGAGACTTCTTTTGTGTTCTCAGCATTCTGATTTGTTTTTTCATTACTTTATCATACCTAACTGTATGTCTCACAGATGAGTTGACTGTACAAATATAATCTGATAACAGCCAGTGATGGTAGAAGAAAGATGTCTGAAGGAAAAAGAATTTGAGATTTTTTAATCTTTTTTTTTTAGGTACTGTTTATAAAATTACATATATAGACCATTATTTTACGTATGCTTGAATGTGTGATTAGATCAGCTGTATCTGAATCCATGTAGAATTGCACTTGTTTCTCTTCTTCAGTCATTCTTAAAAGCAGGAAAGATGTTTATCTTATTACTGAATGCATATGCTTTATTATTCCACTAGTCTAGAGCTCAGAACCAAATTAGATTCCCACTGTGTTAATTCCTGCATAAATGTTTAGTAAAATAGCAAATCCTTGCTTGAATGGGTTCCTGCAGTATGTGAGGCTGTCAGGAAAGATGCTGATAAAAGTACCAAAAAGGAAAATTGCTTTACACAGGAAGTGCAAAGCCAGGGTGTCCTTAGTTCATGATCCTGCCTATTGGAACGTTCTGCTTGTTTATACTGTTACTGAATATAATTTTAGTGTCTTTTGAAGTATCCCACATTGGACTCTTATTTTGGGGATTTTCTATGAAGCCTGAGGTATTCAAACTACTGCAGATGTAAGAACTTCATTGGGTTGTATGGCTGGTTTATATTCTGATTTCGTTAGTTTTTCATTGTTTTAAGGAACTTTTTCTTGTCAATTTCTCTTCACATATGTAGCAATTTAAGTTACAACTTATGTAGCTTAATGTTTTAAAAGAAATTACCAATGTGGTTAAGTGCTGAAAAGGGGGGTACCAGGCAGGAATACTTTGGTTTTTTATCATAACAAATTACATAGGTTTTTAAAAGGAAATCTAGCGGTGATTTACTTCCCTAATAGCGAGAGGCAAGTAGGCATGTGTCTTTAGCATTCCTGCGTTGGAACAGGGGAGCTCCGTAGTTCCTGATCCTCTCATTTCATGCCAGCTGGCTTAACTGACTGCATAAATGTTTGCTGTACTGTGCACAACTGTGTACGTATGTTCTCTGTTACTCTTAGTTACTGTGCAGTTGGGAGGGTAAAACCTGGATTTGGCTACTCGATTTATGTTGCTTTATCACGGGATAACAGTAGAAAGCTCTTTCAGTGGAGGAAAATAAATTATCTAACAAATGGAGTAATTTGTTACTTCAGTTTGTGGACAGTACTTGGATGCTGCGTGCGATGCTTCAGAAGCCATTTCTAATAGGTGATACAGGCAAGACTGTACAAGGTTTGCTCCTTCCATTGCCACAGTATCCCAAAAGGGGTGATGCCTCTTGGTATCCCTTTATGCCTGTACTTTTTACCGAAGGAACGCCTGGATATGGTCCTGGGCAGCTGGCTGTTAGTGGCCCTGCTTGAGCAGGGTATTGGACCATATGATCTCCAGAGGTCCCTCCCGAGCTCAGCTGTTCCCTGGTTCTGTGTTATTTTGTTTCAGTTACAGTTCTTTGTACTGTTACCTATGGTCATGTAAGTGAGCTGCTTGAACACGGTAATGTAAAGAGATTTGAATCTGAGTGAACAAACCTTGGTTGTAACTGGTCTGCCCCCTGTGGAGTGCTTCCTGGTCATTCTTTTCCTTGGGATTTGGGAATTTTAGTCCTCACTAAGTTCCCTTCCCCTCTTAGCCAAAGTCAGGAGAGCAATGCCTTGCTCCCCATGTCCTTTGTTTCTTGCTGTGGCTTTGATAAACAGTGGGATATTTGATAAAGGATGGGAAACTTGATGGTTTGAATTTTGAAATCTCGGATTAAGAGACAAGTTAGTCTTGTTCATCAGAGTGAACTAATTAATTCAGCATGTTAATTGAGGCTCTTAATTTGTCAGTCAAGTGTTTAATAATGCTGAATGTCCTGACAGTTTATAGACAGGTTTGACTGCTATTGAGCCTACAGCTTAGATTGTTGTAAAAATTAGGTTAGATATTGTTTAAAAGTTATGTTTTCAGTGAAATACAAAATGGTAAAGGCAAACCACTCTCATCCTAAGTTAATGGCAAGGTTTTGTAAGCGTCTTTGTTTCTTCAGAAATGATAACATTCATAAGCTGAAATGATTTTTGAAAATGGGAATTAGGCTGGTTTTTTAGCTTTTGGTTTTTCCAGAGGCCCTCCTCAAGGTAAATGTAAGTTTGTTGTTTTGTTTTGGTCTTTTTTTTATTTCTCTTTTTTTTTTATTCCTGTCTGCCTGTGAGTTGATCACAGATGTCTTGGTCTATGGAGAACATACTTGATGTGGATAAAGGTTGTTTTTTTTTTTTTTCTGTGCATAAGAGAATTTGAAGCAACAATCTAAAATTAGTCATCCTCAAATGACAAGGCTGAAATAACAATATCTAACAATCTTCTTAGGGTTTCACTAAGAAATGCTATCAATTTCTAATAATAATTTTTAGCAAATCTAGGATTGGGAAGCCTGCCACTAATTACAGTTCTTTGAAGGCGTGAGGGCATCTGGACAGCTGTAAGCTGTCTGATACAACTTCTCAGTTAGAAATTTGTAGTTTATTTATATCACTTGAATAAAAATGCCTGGTGCATAGCTAGCTGCCAAAGGACAGTGGGCACAGCACTAAGAATACCTGGATTCAGAACTTGAGGTATTAGTAGCTGCAGACTGCTCTGCATATGCAGACACAATTTTTCTGTGTTTTTGCTCTACAGTTAGTGTTAATAAGAAACTTATTTGAAATTAAAGCAATTGAGAGGTGAAGATTATTAAGGATGTTGTTATTCAGCCAAGGATAAATGCAAGATGGAGAAAGATGAGGTCTTTTGATTCTGTAGCCTTAACACAAAGACTGAAAAAAACAAGTAGTGTTCTAGTAGCAATTTTTGTCTTATCAGATCTATGTTACATGCAAAAAAAACCTCTCTCAGCCTTTTAAATTTTGCAAAGTTTTTGTATAGATGAAAATTGGATAGATTTTAAGCATAATTTCTACAATATGTATAGAAATCTTATCCTCCCCTTTTAAAAATAAGCACCAAGGCTAATGAGTGGCTGTATTTGAGAACATATTTCAGTAGTTATCAACTAACTGTTCCAGTAGCCAAGATTGGATTTAGGAATGATTTGGAAATACTCTGTCTTGTGTGAAGAGCTATAGAAATGATTTGGGGAACTGAAACCAAATATTGTTAAGAACCTTACTGGGTTCTTCTCAAGGAACTGCAAGACTGAACTGTTTATACTGGAGATAAAAATGTGGAGAACTTCTGTTTTAGCAGGCAAAGCATTACAAACAGTTAATAGTACTGAAAGCAAGAATGCTGTTTTCCTTTAGATGGAAACTCTTTTCTGCTATCAGGAATACTGTTGTGGCTCTGTGCAGAAGGGTGTTTCACCTCTTGTTGAATTGGTTATTAAGTTGTTGCTGTGATTTTTCTGTGGGTTTTTTTTTGGGGGGGAGGACTTGATTGGGTTTTTTAATAGCAAAGCATATGGTCTGGCTGCTAGATGGCCTTCCTAGTCAGTTAAAACCTTTGAGGTTTTGCTTGTGTAATAGACTTTTCTTGTCTGTTTGCAGAGGTGAACGCTTTTTCTTCAAGAATATAGCTTATATCGTATGTGTATGTTAAAAAGGTGAGCACAGAGTTAAAATAGAACTACCACACATAAATAAACAAAGCTCATGGTCTGAAACTGGCTCCATGTTTTCATTAAAATTTTTCATGGCTCTTAATTTTGTCCTTAACTGCCAAGTTTCTTTATATGGTTAAATTGGATTATCTACTTGAAAATACCTTCACTGAGTTAACTGAGCAGATGAGAGCTCTGTACAACTCAAATTCTTATAACCTGCTGCTGCTACCTTAGTATTGTGTGGGAATGGGACTTGCATGGGGCATATCCTATAGTTCTTTGAAATTTAATAGCTGCCACCCACATGCTCTTTGCATCACTTCTACATGGAATTGCTCATCAAAGCAACTCAGTTTAAAACTGACCTATCAAATTTAAAAACAAACCCACAACAATAAAACCCTTCATATCCCTGTTTATTTTTATGCAGCTTGGAAACTGTGTCTAATAGTGCTAGAGGTTCTGATTTTCTTTGGTTTTCTTTGGGTTTTCTTTTTCCTTGAGTATGCTTTATAGACTCATTTATCTTCTTTATTTGTTATATGTTTGATTCTTCTGATGCTTACCTAGAGATCACACTTTCATGTTCTGAAGAGTGTGGATGGCAACACTGACTGGCACCAGGCAGTGATTCACTGTATGTTGAAGATCTGACAAAAATAGCAATTGAAATAGATGGCTGTCTTCATTGGCTTGAAAAGTGAGCACTTGTTGAAGTGAACACCTGTGAAGGAATTTCCTAGTAATCCCTATGAATTTCTTTTGGAAGTATTTGCTTTAAATAGATATTTCAAGTTCATCCACTTTAACTTCCTGTAACTCTTATGGCTGTGCTTGGATAGAATTCAATGCATTAATTGAAACAATAAAAGTATAAGTTGAAAAATAATTTGATATATTAATCTTCCTTCAAACTGGAGTGTTTAAATGGAAAGGACTTTGTCAATCATATTTTTTGTAATTACAGGAATGAAGTGAACAGAGGACTAGGATTTTTTTTTTACCTTATTTTTAAATAATGATTAAATACATTTATTTAATCTTTGGTGTGTGTCCCCCATGTATATATAGGGAGAAAGAAGGAAGGATGGGAATCACAT